TTTTTTTTTTTCTTCCCTCCCAGCCTTGATTGAATTTTGCAAGCCCCTGATATCTTTCTTTTTTGTAGGGATGCACGCTGCTTATGCAAATACCAGCCTTTCATACCGCCTCCCTGGCTCAAGCCCTCCAACTTGAATGTGACCAAAAGCTGTGCTCTCCCCTGCTAACTCCTTAGCACAATTACACCTCCATTCTGCTCCAGGGGCCCGGGGAGGGGGAAAAAAAAAAAGAAAAAAAAAATCATTTTAAAGTAATAACACGTGCTGTTTGCTTTGGATAATTACAAGGGAGCTTCGGCTTCTAAGAGCTATGAAATATTCCGTGTGGCAGGGCAGGAGGGAGGCTCCGTGTTCCGCCTACGCTGCCAGTTTTATCTCCTGGCGGAGATGCTGGCGCGGCCTCTCGAGGCTCCTTCCATCTCGCGCTCGTCCTGTGCACCTGGGCAAGCATTTACATTTCCTACCGAGGAACTTCTGGGCGCTTTGGGCTACGGGAGGAGAGGAGAAGGTGGCTGACATTTTTTCTTATCTCAAGTTACAATTTCCTGCAAAGCATCAAGATAATAAAACATGGGGCGATGGGCACGCCGAGAGAAATGAATGCGGCGGCTGGCTCTCCCGCGGCAGCGCGGGGAGGACCGGGGGAGAAAGGACACCCAAGGGATGCGGCTGCTCCGCCGGCTCTCGTTTGCATCCCGGCCCCGGCGTTATTGTCCTCCTGCCTTGTCTGGCTGGGGAAGTTTATGTGGAGGGCTTTTGCCGGGGCGAGGAGGAGGAGGAGGAGGAGGGGAGTTTTCCCCAAAAGCACCCAGGAATCTGTCAAAAGAGGGACAGAAAAGAGAAGAAGAAGAAGAAGGGAGACAGAGAGTGGGAACGTCAAGGACCCCTGACTAATGAATAGCAAGTTTGCCCTTGAACCTCCCTGGGCTTTGCCATTCCCAGGCTCCAAACAAGGGCTGATGCATGCTTGGGCCCAGCTGCAGGGGGACCGGGCTATGGTTCATCTCAGACACTTTGACAGCCCGGGCCTTTTCCCCGCATAGCTCAGACTCGCCTAACTACTCCCCTGGCAACAGCTCAGTGCAGGAACCTGCGGCTGAGGCCCTGCCTGCTGCATACAGAAGTGCGAGGAGGAGGAGGAGGAGGGGAGCCGCTGGGAGAAATTAGCTGGAGACCGGCTTAACCCATCAAATGCTGGGCAGGCATCACCAGCCCCGGCACCCTTGGCTCGGTCCCCGGCCGGGCTGGCTGGGTGCTCGCTGGCGTTGGAGCAGAAGAAGGGTGCTGCTGGTGGTGGTGGGTTAGATGTGCTGAGCTCGCTGTGTTATATCACAAACACCACGACCTGCTGCTTCACCAAGACCCGGCGCCTTGGACCTGGTGGGGCCAAAGGTCCTTCATGGTGCCAGGGATGAGGGAGGGAGATGAAAACAGCCGGGTGGAGAAGACCACCGGACACTGAGCGGGGAGGGCATGGCCTCTCCCTGGTGTGGCAGGGACTGGGCATCCCTCTCTGCCAGCCGAAACGAGGGCTTGGGCTGGACACGAGAGGCACAAACTTGCCCCGTCCGCTCTTTCTGCATTGCAGATCAAAGGCAGGGGACAGGCTGGCCTTAGGGGTCTGCGCTGAATGGCTGGAGAAAGCAGGGACGAGCACCCGGCGGCTCCAAAGCGCGACCCAGAAACGTTCCCACATCCCGGCCCCATATAAATCAAGGGGGAAAAAGCCGGGGGGGCCTGGGGGTAGGGGGCTCTGTCCCGGCCTCTGTTTTTACAGAGCATCTTTCATGTGCAGCCCCTGAGAGAGAGGGCTTTGCCGAGCTTGTTAAGGACGGCTCCTGCGCCAGGCAGAGAGGGGGACGCACCATATGGAGAGGAGAAAAAGAAAAGGGGACACTGAAAATGGAAAATTATGCAAAGCAGGAGGAGAGGCGCTGGGGGAAAGGGGGGAGGGAGGCAGCGAGGTGTGGGGGATGGGGAGAGGGGAGGCTGGGAAGGGAGCCCTGACTTGGGGGACACCAGCGAGCTGGCACGGGGGCAGCAGGAGAGACAGAAGTTTCCCGTGACTGGCTGCAGGACAGCCCCTGGCACCCTTGGGGGCTGTCCCCTGTGGGCAGCTCTCCAGCCTGGCTTTCCCCAGGGGATCTGGGCTGCTCTGGGGTGATGCCCAGCTGGACCACGGTGGGTGCACCCTGCATCCAGAGCTGTGCCAAGCCAGGAGATGCAGCAAAACGGGGCCCATGGTGACCTACTTCAGAGGTGTCCTCAGGACCTCTGTTACTATGGCAATGAGGTTGCGAGCAAACATTATGGCTTTTTTGGTCAAGGTTTTTGCTTTTAGTCAATCACAAAAACCGGACTCACGTACTGAGGGGCTGGGGGTCGTGTAAGAAATGGCCCTAAACAACAACGACATGAGGGCTCGAATCCCCTGTGGGTTCTCAGCCACCCACACGGTGAGTTAAGGAGCATCCAAATGCAGCTGCCAGAGCTCTTCCCTTCCCCTTGGTCCTCAGAGGGATCTCTTGGTCTCCAGAAGGTCCTAGTGCTACAGGGCGGGCCAGAGCCCCAAACATGGCTCAGGGATGCCGTGCAGGCACAGGAGGGAGAATGAACTTTCCCTGCATGTGTTATTGCCCAGCTTGTGCTCAAACTCCAGCATCTGGCCTAACGTGGTGTTTGGAGACATGACTTGGCTCCCCTCTCTCCTGGAAACCTTCCTTGGTCACACCTCAGCTTCTGGGATCAGTTCACCTTTGGGAAACC